CCAGCCAATATGAGCAATTCAGAAGCTGCCGAGGAAACAAGAGATGAAGATTTTGCCTTCCATGGAGGTGCTGGTGGAAGATCTGGGCAGGTACCTGATTGTTGTGTGAACTTACAACAGTATAAATGTAAGTTGGGAAGGGTTGGCAACAGAGGGTTAATGAAACCAGAATGACTGCAAATATTTCTTTGTAAGCCAGCAGACGAAATTCTGAGACGCATCCTTTGCTGGAGGATGTAATCCATCCTAGCTCCACCCCTTTCTGGGAGCAAGGTCGGGTTGGGTCAGGGATAAGCTAGCTGGGAGTGGAGAACAATAGACAGTAGTTTTGAGTCAAGAGGATAAGAAAAGGTTAGAAAATACAGACTAATGGAGACAAAGGCTGAGACTTACTTCTGAGCAAACATGCGTAAGAGGGTGCTGTTCATTTGTGCTTTTGAGAGCTGTCCCTGAATTTGATAGTCAGGAAACAGAACAATTCCATAGCTTCAAAAATGTGAGCTTCATCAAGTATCATGGAAACCGTTCATTGGAATTTCCATTTATAGCTGTTAGGCTTGCTGTGGCCAAATCTATTCAAGCCCTCTTGGGCTTTACTCAGACTCTTTAAAATCTTCGAAATTGTAAGTAACCTGAAATTGCATGATAATGTTGTGGGGATGTAAATTCCATCGGTAAAGCCCCACATAAATGTTTGAAGTAATTCCTGATACTGTTCCTACCCACAAATGATCTTTGCCACATATCTGACAGCTGAAGTAGATTGCAAGGGTATATAATTAGGTGCAAACTCTGCAGTGATAAGAAATTGGAGTGAGGTTTGCCATGCAAAAGAAAATCATCCTGAAATGTGCCTTATAACACAAGGAAATGTACTTACATTTTAATGTGATTTTTTTGGGGGGGGGGTCAACTAACCAGGAACTAGTTAGAATTTTATAAATGATACTTGATATATGGTATAATATATTTATAATAAATATTATAATAAATTGTAATAAATAGATAAGAAAAATAAATTGACCTTCTGAGTGTAGATGTAACAGGCAGAAATATGGTCTGGTTGAGCATGGCTTTAGAACTTTGGAAAACTCAGAAGTCCGCTCATTGAAAAAGAATAAACAAAAATATTTTAATGTTCAAAGGGACATGGCTTCAACCCAACACTCAGTTTTCTCAAGATGTTATCTGCATATTAAAAGGAAGCATGCCTTTGAAAGTTATTTACATAATCTCACATTTGCCAGGTTGTGAAAGGCATGTACACGCTGCATTTTCGAACAATGCCATCACAGTTTTTGGAGTCCTGCGATTCAACATTTCCTGTAAGTGAACATCTATGCATCTGTGGTTCTCAGGAAACAGAAGGCATTTGCAATTATTCACTGTATTGCTGATGCTATGTGCAACCTAGGAGAAAGTTCAGTACTGAAATATTGGATAGGTGCCTTGAAGCAAACAACCAGGTAACATTTCTCCTGGAAAACCAAGAAAAATCTGCCATAAAATAAATTGCCCAATGATAGCCCAAAAGCTGAGAAAGGTTTGCAATGTTCAAATTAACATTTAAAACTGTAATAATCATGATAATATGCCAGCCATATAGTATACCCTAGGTGTGTGATGTATGGAAGTGAGAGCCGGACCATAAAGAAGGCTGATTGCCGAAGAATTCACGCTTTTGAATTATGGTGCTGGAGGAGACTCTTGAGAGTCCCATGGACTGCAAGAAGATCAAACCCATCCATTCTGAAGGAAATCAGCCCTGAGTGCTCACTGGAAGGACAGATCCTGAAGCTGAGGCTCCAATACTTTGGCCACCTCATGAGAAGAGAAGACTCCCTGGAAAAGACCCTGATGTTGGGAAAGATGGCGGGCACAAGGAGAAGGGGACGACAGAAGACGAGATGGTTGGATAGTGTTCTTGAAGCTACCAGCATGAGTTTGACCAAACTGCGGGAGGCAGTGGAAGACAGGAGTGCCTGGCGTGCTCTGGTTCATGGGGTCACAAAGAGTTGGACACGACTAAACGACTAAACAACAACAACATGTGTGTCCTAGTGGACGAGTGGAAATAGGAAGTGGTAGCAAAAACCTGACACTCATTCTCATTTCTGCAGACATTGTACACAACCCAAGTTATGATTTGTTATGATTTTAAGTTAAAAAACTAGAAAATCCATGTTGCTTGATCTTCTCTCCTGCTAAACTAATTGCTCAATTAGCACATGTGTCACTCTTGATTCTGACACATGAAGTAAAGTAATAGAAATAATCCTTATTATAAGTTATTCGTAATAATGGGTTAATAGTTCATCTTTACCTCTGCCAGAAACAACAAATGATAGAGGAAACCAAAGTTCAAATACTGTAAAATATCTAGAGCTCTAGGAACGACTCCAGTTCTCCTGAGTGGGCAAAATGTCTTGCCAGAAAAATACGACTTTCCCCCCATCTTTTAGCCCTGAAGCCTACTGAAAACAAACCCCAAAGCCTGGCAAGGGATTAACAAAACATTTTCAAACTACAGACATAAAAGACAGGGGTCGAATCATATTTCATTTGGCCTTGTTCGGCAATATTTTTGGCTTTCCAGGGGAAATGGACTTCAGTCAAACTCCTAGAGCTCTCAAATGACTAAATCAGCCACAAATTTGCCCGGCATGGAATTCGTAGCTTGTGATAGGTGAAAGCAATTGATCCCTTGATAGTTACAGAGAAAACAATGAACAACTGGTAGTGGGTATCCATATCCAACTTTAGGAAGCAGTCTTTGACTGTACAATTGCCCCATGCTTATAGTGAGGCAACTTCTTTAAGGCAGTTCAAAATTAACCCAGAAAATCCCAGTGCTAGGTCAACACTGGGTACTGGTAGCCAGTACTTTTTTTCCCTAAAGAACATGTTTAGGGATACTCTTATTTTGACTCAAGAAAACCATCATTTTATAGTTCAGATTTGGAAAAATAAATACAATAAATGGACAAAAGGACAAAGATTTGCAAAATGTTTAGGGGTATGCGTGTCCCTGCGTACCCCCAGAAAAAAGCATTTTTGGTAGCAACAGAGGCTACCATTTTATTCTAAACCAGGAGGTGGGATTAAAAATGGGCAAATAGGTAGGTATTTAGACACAGCACCATGGATAGCTCCCATGAAAGCCAGAGGTGAACTGAGGCCCCTCCAGTTCACTTTTCCTAAGCTTTGAGCCTTTGGCCTGAAGACTCTGGTTTTTACACTGCCAGCCTTGTTCCTCCAGTCTTTGAAATCATAGCTTCTGTATGCTTTATAAATATCAGGTCCAGTTCCCAGACTGGTGGGGGTACAGCAATGTCAGATTCAGCTATGGCAGACTCAGTCAGCTCCTCCTCCTCCTCCTCTGACCCTGAGCTGGAGGCCAAAGCCAAGGCATGATAGACAGATAGATAGATAGATAGATGATAGATAGATAGATAGATAGATGATAGATAGATAGATAGATAGATAGATAGATAGATGATAGATGATAGACAGATATAGATAGATCGATAGATAGATCGATCGATAGATAGATAGATAGATAGATAGATATAGATAGAGGATAGAATTGCAAATACTCATTTCTACTTGCCTTCTATTTTATTGTAGCTTCTTGCTACCTGCAGACTATCGGCGTGAGGTTTAGGAGTTTTTGTTGATATGCAGATTTGATTTAAGAAGTACTTAATGGTTGCTGTTATTGGTTTTAAAAGGGATGCAGGTGGTGCTGGGGTCTAAACCACTGAGCCTCTTGGGCTTGCCGGTCAGAAGGTTGGCGGTTCAAATCCCTGTGATGGGGTGAGCTCCCATTGCTCTGTCCCAGCTTCTGCCAACCTAGCAGTTCGAAAGCACGCCAGTGCAAGTAGATAAATAGGTACCGCTGAGGCTGGAAGGTAAACGGCGTTTCAGGGTGGTTTCCGTCACGGTGTCCCGTTGCACCAGAAGTGGTTTAGTCATGCTGACCACATGACCCAGAAAGCTGTCTGTGGACAAATACCGGCTCCCTTGGCCTGAAAGTGAAATGAGGGCCTTAACCCCATAGTCGCCTTTGACTGGACTTAACTGCCCAGGGGTCTTTTACCGTTACCTTTTTACCTATTACCGGTATGTCTTTGCATCCTTATTCTTAGTCCTTATTATTAATTATGTGGGGATTGCTTAATTTTACTGTATACTTATTGAGTTTTTTATATATTGTTAGTGACTACTTACCTTTTGTAAGGGACATGGGTGGCGCTGTGGGTTAAACCACAGAGCCTAGGACTTGCCGATCAGAAGGTCGGCAGTTCAAATCCCCGCGACGGGGTGAGATCCTGTTGCTTGGTCCCTGCTCCTGCCAACCTAGCAGTTCGAAAGCATGTCAAAGTGCAAGTAGATAAATAGGTACCGCTCCGGTGGGAAGGTAAACGGCATTTCCATGTGCTGCTCTGGTTCACCAGAAGCGGCTTAGTCATGCTGGCCACCTGACCCGGAAGCTGTACGCCGGCTCCCTCGGCCAATAAAGCGAGATGAGCACCGCAACCCCAGAGTTGGCCACGACTGGACCTAATGGTCAGGGGTCCCTTTACCTTTACTAAATGCAATAAATAAGCATTTAGGTGAAGCATGAAGGTGATGATGATGATGTATATTTATTAGATGCTATGCTCATAAAAATGACCACACCTTGAGCATTTTTTAACGATGGAAAGAAAGCATACCAATAAAGGATGGAGATGACGCAGCAGGAACTTCCAAACAAGGAAAAGACACAGGTTCCAGCAGAGCTCCCCCGTTGCAAAAAGGTAGGCTAATTAATAATAATAATAATAATAATTTATTTATACCCCGCCCATCTGGCTGGGCTTCCCCAGCCACTCTGGGCAGCTTCCAAAAAAATTATTAAAATACTGTAATACATCAAACATTAAAAGCTTCCCTAAACAGGGCTGCCTTCAGATGTCTTCTAAAAGTCTGGTAGTTGTTGTTCTCTTTGACATCTGGTGGGAGGGTGTTCCACAGGGAGGGTGCCACTACCGAGAAGGCCCTCTGCCTGGTTCCCTGTAACTTGGCTTCTCGCAGTGAGGGAACCGCCAGAAGGCCCTCGGCGCTGGACCTCAGTGTCCGGGTAGAACGATGGGGGTGGAGATGCTCCTTCAGGTATACTGGACCGATGTTGAAGTGAGCCACACAAACACAGAATTACGATATGAAGGAGGCAATCTGAAGATGTTGGGCCCATCACTTTGGGGCTCTCGCACTGTTACAGCTTTGCAAGTTGGCAGCATCTGTTTGCACAGCAGGGAATGATATAACCTGTTCTGAGGGATTGGTTTAAGCTTTTTTTTCTTTCCCCCCTTCCCCACTCGCACAAAAGTAAAAATGGCAAAAATTTAGTCCTTAATGGGATTATACTGTTCTTTCCTCACATTGTCAACTTCACTTAATTTCCTCCTTGCCATTAACATGTCTAATGCATATGTCAGGCACAAGCCTGATACTATTCGGGCAAGCAGAATGTTGTATGAAGTCGGCAATGTGTTAAAACAATTGAGCAAGCAAGTACTAAAAGTTTGTTGCTCTGGCCATATGGTACAGTGTTTAATTTCCCGTAGTGGAAGGACGTGGCTGTCACAGGGAGAGAAAAATATGATGAATAAATTTACTTGGGGAAACATATTATAATGAAGAATGGCTTTCCGGGGAAGTAAACGGAGGAATTTCAGCTCTGAAACAGGGGCATATGGGACGCATTAAGATCTAAATAAGGGTAGCAGGGCACTGTGCCTTAAAGAATGAAAGACATATCAAGGAAAACAAGGTGATCTCTCTTGCTAGGCCAGCTATGAGAGAGACATTTTATAAGTGCATGCTCTTGTACTGAATTATGAAAACGAGAAATGGCATTTGCGTAATTGACAGTCGGAATACCTCTGACAGAAAAACAAAGGCGATGTCTTCATTTGTGGGCTGATGGGCCAGTCCTTTCGTAGGCTAGGCTGCACACTGAAATTGACAAAATGTAGCATATTTAATGAAGATTGTGGTCCTCTTGCCCCTCAGCTGAAAAACAAAAAACAAACAGTAATGATAATCATAAATACTTTGGGGTTTTATTTTTGAGAGTCCCATGGACTGCAAGAAGAACAAACCTATCCATTCTTAAGGAAATCAGCCCTGAGTGCTCACTGGAAGGACAGATCCTGAAGCTGAGGCTCCAATACTTTGGCCACCTCATGAGAAGAGAAGTCTCCCTGGAAAAGACCCTGATGTTGGGAAAGATGGAGGGCACAAGGAGAAGGGGACGACAGAGGACGAGATGGTTGGATAGTGTTCTCGAAGCTACCAGCATGAGTCTGACCAAACTGCGGGAGGCAGTGGAAGACAGAAGTGCCTGGTGTGCTCTGGTCCATGGGGTCACAAAGAGTAGGACACGACTAAACGACTAAACAACAACATTGTTTTTGGTTTGATTTTGTATGTTGTGCTCTTGTTCGTGAACCGCCCTGAGACGTCTGGGTATAGGACAGTGTATAAATTGAATAAATAATAATGATAATGAGGTCTATTGATTATTGCGGAGCTTGAGTTAATTCAGTAACATATGAGTGCCCTTTTTGAATAAGGAATAATCAGATATTTATCATTATAAAAAAGCATCACCCTGCTTCTAACCTGCATCCTTGCAGATATCCCACATGGACCATCAGCAAGCTGATTGCTCTACTATTCATAATGGTCTGCCTATTCATGATTTTATGCATTTAGGAAGATGTATGAATCGCTTCATCAAAGAGCCATTTCAGCAGTGTCCATAATAAATAATGAGTGTCCATTTATATTCCTTTGTAAGATGTGCAATGGAGAGCTGGGAGAGTGTTTTCCTGCTCTTGGCCTTGTTCCAATGACCCACCCAAAAGCAGGAAGTGATATCATCGTGAGGAGGCTACAAGTTGACCAAGATGTGAGAAGAGGAAGCAAGAGTCCTGGATGCAAAGCCAGGGCAGAAAAGCAGCACAGATCAAGTATTAAAATAAGTGACATGCCAACTGAGTGAGGAGGAAGGGGCAGCAGGTGACAGGAGCTACAGGTGCTTCCTGGACTTAGAAAGTACCTGGGAATAGGGAACTGAGGCAAGAGTATTAGCCCCAGGGGAATCCAAGTCCATTGCAGCTCTCTCCCTGGAGGAATGAAGGATTAGTTTCACAGAAGCCCTTTTCCTGAAAATCTAGTTCAGGACTCAATACCACTCATTGAGATGTTTATATCTGGGGAGAAAGGAAAAGAAAATAACTGTAATGATTTCTGTTGGCACCTATAAACTGGAATGCTTGCCTCAGCAGCTTCGGTGCATTGCTTGAGGTGTCCTGGAAGCGGAGGACCAATCCCCCAGACAGAGACTACAAAACCCATGAATCACTGCAAGTGCAAACAGAACACTCACCGCTTCCTAGGCCTCAGATGACAGCGAACCAATATATGAGCCCTCTTCAGATGTTACACATAGTGTAAACATACAAGGGAAGTCAGTGTGGATGAGGGCACTATTTCTGTTCTCTGTCTCCTTTCCAGCTGCCCTCTATTAGCTAGGGGGTGGGTGGAAGTTACCCCCCCCCCCGGGTTCTAAGATGCACAGGAAGTCTTTGCACGTACTGGAGAGTCTCCACTTCAGATCTTCACTCTCCAACTTGTGGAAGGCAACTGAATGAACTCGTCCATGCCTGCCCTCGCTTGTATGTTTACTTAACCCTAATGTAGAATACCCCAAGTGTGCTATGATATTGGAGGAATAGAGATGCAAGAGGGAAGTCCATATTTTTAACTGTCAGGTGGATTTTCCATGGGAAACCTCCTGCAGGGGCCCGAAGAAACAGAAGCGCAAAAGGAATTCCTCCTTGGGGTTTTGCAGATGGCTACAGCAGGTGGGGATGGTTTGATGGTGGTTTGGGCCACTTCCCCCAGCAGAAACCCATGATTTAACTGCAAGAGCAGCCAAGGGGGTGGACAAATGAATGATGACAAAGGCAAGCGGGGGGCATGAATCAGTGAGGCATAGAAGAGAAGATGAGAGAGAGAAAGAGTCTTTTTGTAGGGGCGTTATAGAAAGCAGGGCTCTAAGAGAAAGGGAGAGAATGACTTGAGGAAAATGCATGAAGATGGAAAAATAAAAACCTATTAAGCAGTTAAGCTTATTGAGGTAAGAAACGTAAACTAAGAGTGGTTGTTCACATGGTTGCACTGTGATAACAAGAAATAAATTTATCTCTTACCTCCAAAGATACTGCCTTCAGATGTCTTCTAAAGGTTGTATAGTTATTTATCTCCTTGGCTCAGGGGCCACATAACTCCATACCCTTCAACATTTCTCTGAAAATAGGATCATACTAACACACTCTCCCTTCTTGGGAGAAAAGCAATGGCAAACCTAGACAGCATCTTAAAAAGCAGAGACATCACCTTGCCAACAAAGGTCCGTATAGTTAAAGCTATGGTTTTCCCAATAGTGATGTATGGAAGTGAGAGCTGGACCATAAAGAAGGCTGATCGCCGAAGAATTGATGCTTTTGAATTCTGGTGCTGGAGGAGACTCTTGAGAGTCCCATGGACTGCAAGAAGATCAAACCTATCCATTCTGAAGGAAATCAGCCCTGAGTGCTCACTGGAAGGACAGATCCTGAAGCTGAGGCTGCAATACTTTGGCCACTTCATGAGAAGAGAAGACTCCCTGGAAAAGACCCTGATTTTGGGAAAGATGGAGGGCACAAGGAGAAGGGGACGACAGAGGACGAGATGGTTGGACAGTGTTCTCGAAGTTACCAGCATGAGTCTGACCAAACTGTGGGAGGAAGACAGGAGTGCCTGGCGTGCTCTGGTCCATGGGGTCACGAAGAGTCGGACACGACTAAACGACTAAACAACAACAACACCACACTCTCCAAACCAATGAAAATAGGGACATCCTAAGGAAAAGAGGGCTCTACTGGGATCAAATAAGAAATCGGGATGCCTTCTGTAAATCCAGGCCTGTCCCTGGACAATAGGGACACTTGGAGGGTCTGTCACACAGTGATGATGTGTCATGTCAGGTGTGGGTGTGTATAGGGCTACACATGAAAGCCCCTCTGCTTTTGGGGTGCACTGCACCATACACAGAAATGGGAACATGGGACACTGTCTTATACTGAGCCAGACCATTGGTCCATCTCATTCAGTATTGTCTACACTTATTGGCAGAGCCTCCCCAGAGTTTCAGGCAGGACCCTCTTCCAGCTGTACCTGGAGTTGCCAGAAATTGAACTTGGAGACTTCGGCATGCAAAGTAGATGCTATGCCACTCAGTCTATCAGCTGAACTACATAAGAGAATGCATGCAGCTTCCCAGAGGCCTGTGGCACTAAGTCCCCAGAGCTTTCACTTCCGTAGTGTATTCTGAGTTGATGAAGGCTAGGCAGCCCTGACATCTTATGCATGAGAAAGAACAGTATTGTGCGAAAGGGGAACACCTGCAAGAGCTTACCGATTTATTTCAGCTCTGCCTCTCCCACAGACACAGATGAACTACTTTGCCTGGGGTCTGCGGGGCTCTGTAGGAAAGGGGCAAGGAAGGGGGAGCTGAATTTAAGCCAGCCCCTCTCCCCTCTCCCACCCCTGTGTGCTCCATCGTGGATTTATTTTCTAGCCAATCTCCCCGAGGTGAAAGGTGAGCTCATGAACTGCTGTATGATTTAGTGACTTGAAAAACACAACTCCATTCCGCCTGTTTCTGTAACTTGCTCTAGATGGCAAACCCCGGAAAGTCCTTGTCGCTCTTAGGAGCCAGGCTCTCGTCGTTGTTTGCTCGTGTTTCATTTGCTATTCTGGATACCGACACTGGACAGATTGAAATATAATTGGCCAGAAGAGATACCCTGAGTCTGTGTACTCAAGACACTTGAGTACACAGTGCCTTGCATTGCCTTGAGAAGTGAGCTTATATGAATGTCACAAGAATTAGCTTTTTCATACTCCACTAATTTCTCCTCTCCTCAGGTCAGATGCAGAGGCTAGTTCAGGTTATGTAAGGGCACAGTATGAGGGTGCATCATTCAAGGATCTACAGATGGCTAGAGATGCAAGACTTTGATTGAAATTTGATGTCTAACTTAGGGCATGTTCTGACATTCACTTCTTTAAGTGATCTTGCAGGTGTTCACTCATGGATATGTTACATGGGAAATATAACTTTTCCAGGGTAGATCCATGTGCAGGTTCTTAGGTCTCATGAGGTCTAGGGAAAGTGAGTTGGATAATAAGCCCACCAACTTTAAATTCCAACAGGTAGATTGTTCGTGTGATTCCCTTTTAAAAAGTGGAACCACATAATTGATAGAGGATTCACGCAAATGACTGATTCACCATTGAAAGAATGGACAAACATTACAGAGCAGATATATCCCTATCTAATTGGGATGCAAAGCTCATCAGAGGGAAAGCTATGAGCCATCAACTGTTTCAGGCAGTGATAAGGAGAGAAATCACATGATTACAGTGGTACCTCGGTTTACGAACTTAATCCATTCCAGAAGTCCGTTCTTAAACTGAAACCGTTCTTAAACCGAGGTGCGCTTTCCCTAATGAGGCCTCCCACCGCCGGTGCCCTTCCACCGTTTGCATTCCGTTCTTAGACCAAGGTAAAGTTCACAAACCGGGACACTACTTCCGGTTTTGCGGAGTTTGTAAACCAAATCGTTCATAAACAGGACTGTTCTTAAACCGAGGTACCACTGTATTGCTATTTCCATGTGTAAGTATGGTTGTATGACTGCACTAAGTCAATGATGGCCAGTGCCCACTGGGACTGTTCGGGCACAAGCTAGGGGACCAACAGTAGATGGAGCCCGAGCCAATGACAGACAGAGGGACCCCCTGACTGGTTGTAAGTAAGAAGGCTGGCAGGCAGGAGCTAGCTGATGGCATACCAAGGGCATACCAAGCTAGCTGATGGCATACCAAGGGTGGGTCTGTTCTCCATTCACTCTAATGAACCAACCTCCACACTACAGTGTGGTGTAGTGGTTAG